ATTTGCTGATTGCAAAAAGGGCCATACAACATTGGGATGGCAGCTGCTGTAGCAAATGCCCAGGGTGTGGTGGCTGTCAGCCCACTGCCTGGGTTTAAAAGATGTCCCAGAGCAGTGAGCCAGCCCATCACACCCCATGTTTCACACACAGCATGCTGGCACGCTGCAGAGCTGGGCAGCTGCCCAGTGTCCCAAGGGGATACTGTAGTGCAGAAATGTCCATGCTGAAGGGCATTGCCTTGGTTCAGGCAGGGGGAGTATAATTTCTTCTGGTGGTCTCTAAATCCTCATGGCTTTGACCCCTCAGCCCTGGATTTTGAGCTCTCAGAGCCTGTTTCAGCTGTAGGATAAAAGTTGCTGTCACAGAAACTTTTAAAGATTTAGCATGCTTCCCCTGCTAAGGTAGGGATCCACACAGAGCAGAGCAATAGCTGCACTTAAAGATAACTCTGTTCTGTCCCTTTGCCTGAGAGGTCTAGAGCAGAGAGCACACGGTCATACATTTCAGCAATCTCTGCTAATGGTAGCTGGAAGGAGAAGCCCTTCACCTGTTTGCTCTTGAACTCCAAGAGCCGTCTGCACTGCAGCTCAGCAGTGGACCCCTTCCTCAGGCAGGGACAGCTGGGTGCTGTGAGTTGGAGCACTGACACCTCCCCGGCAAAAGGAAGTTTTGTGCTGAAGCGAAGGGAAGCCCCTGACCCTGGTCTGCTCCACGCAGGGAGTGAAGGAGAGTCAGTGCCAGCATGGCTGGGGCTGTATTGCCCCAGCACTCAGACTTGCTCCTCTCCATCGCTGGGCCTGATTCCTTGTGCTCCCTGAAGCCACGTGAAGTTTGCCCTGCTGGGATCTGTCCCTGCTCAGTTCTGGGATTGCCCTTTTCCTTCCCAACCCCAGCGTAGCACCGCATCAGCTGAACAAGAAACTGTTAAAATGGAGAGATGGACAGTACCTGTAAAGCTGGAGGTCTGTTCATGGCACTGCTCTGCCCAGCTGTGCAAGGCAACTGCAGCTGGATGGCATGTCACAGCATTATCTAAATAAATGCTCTTCCTGGAGGGACTGAATAGGTGCCAGGTGCTTTCCTGGCCCGGCACAGAGCTGCTCCAAGGGTGCTGTGGCACTGCAGACCTGCCAGCACCCACTTCCCTGCCAGTGGCTCAGCGGAGGGGGGCTGCTCATCAGTGATCTGGTTGAAAGCAAAGCTAGACCTAGTCCCCTCAGCTCTCGTCCTGGTTGAAAGGGGATGCAGCTCGTCTGGGAGCTCAGAATAATGTGGGGGCTGTTCATACAGATGTGGCCACTGAGTTAAAAGCTAGGGTGCTCCAAGGTCCTCTCTTCCATACTGTGCTTCAGGTTATGCATATATGTATTCAGATTTCATCAGCTTGTGAAATCTGATCATTATAGCAGCTGCTGTAACTTAAAACACAACAAGTAAGATAAGATCAAACTAAACTTTGGGAGCCAGGTTCTGTCCATATTTTCTCAGACAGCCACACTGATGACAAGTGACACAGTGTGAGCTATCCCACTCAAGACCACGTTCCTTGTTTGAAGTTTTGTGGTCTGTGCAAAGAAAAGGAAACCCTGCAAACTTTCCCAGCCTTTGAGCCTAGAAAGGGTTATTTCTGATATTTGGCAGAAATGAGTTGTTGTACTCCAGTGCCTGGAGATCTCTCCTTAAGCAGGGTGCCTGGTTCTATTGTCCCTGTCTTTCTGGAAGGCTCTCACACATCTGCTGGCAGCAGGCACAAGGGAGTGGAGACACTCGAGGTGCACATCCTTCCCCCTGCCCCAGGTAACAGGGATTCATTCTGAAGCATCAGCAGTTTCTTCTCTCTCTAACCTGCCTCTCTACCTGCCCTGAGGTTCAGGGCAAAGGGGGGAAAGCAGGGAAAGGGTTTCTGCCTGTCGCTGGAGGTGTTGCAGGTTCACCAGGAGCAGTGGCAGCGTGGAAACAGAGGAACAGCATTGGATGGGTCAGGGCAGAGCACTTGGAGCTCAGGGGGTCCCAGCCACGTGCCCAGGGAGCAGCCCTGCAGCATGGTGCTTTGCCCACTGAATTTTAAGACAGTTTACTCCAAGAAGGTCCACCTGTAGAGCTCTCCTTCATAACTGCAATCTGGAGCTCTTCTGCCTTGAAAATCTGAGGCAGTGCCCATGGCCAGACCCTTGCTGGGCTGGCGGAAAAGCTTACCCAGGACTCCTGAGTGAGTGCTGCTTTTTCCTCCAGCCTTTGCACTCTGGAGCCAGCAGAGCCAGAGGAGAAGCTGATCTTTCTTTGCTCCAGCTTGTGCATCAAATCTGACATGCCTCCACTTGGGAGGACAGTATCCTGGCCTAAGATATACTGAAACTCTCTTGCAGGTGAATATCTATAGAGCATTAACAGCTACATACTGATGTTTTCCTATTAAATTAGCTTATTTCTTTTATGGAAATCAAATGGCAATTGTAGCAAGAATAGCACATGGGACATAAAGAGCCCCAAGGCCACTGTGCAGTTCTGGGCACTTGGGTCAGAAGATGGGCTCTGGGGCTTTCCTGCGCAGGAGCCTCACTGGGTCCTGAGCAGTTTCCCTGCAGCAAGCACCCAGACAGTGGTGCCACGTTGTGTCCCACAGATCGGAGCAGCTCTCACCCCACTTCCACAATCTTAAGAGACGATAGGCTTTCCTGCATGCTCAGTGCCATCTTTTGGAAGGTGTCTCATCCCAAAGGATGAGTCTTGCAGGGACTGAGTCAAGCAATTTTTATTCTTTGAGCTTCTTTGGCTTGCTCCTTCCGGAGCAGGGCTGCATTTCCAGGCTGTGCTCAGAGACTCCAAAATAAATTAGACATCTACAAACCTGGAGGCTACAGGTTGCTTAACTGTCTTATTTACTGATCTTCCTGGCACTGGTACACTACTGTCACTCTGCCACTAGAAGTAATTTTACCTGCGTGTTTCAGCCAGACCCAGAGTACTGGGTGCCAGAAACCAGGCTTCAGGCAGACAACCAAGGGAGTCATAACAGATAGGCTGGTGGAGGCTCTCTAGGACATTTATATTGAATTGAATAGGTCCCATTATACCAAAAAAAAAAAAAAAAAACCAAACCCCGAACAAAACCACCAAACAAACCGCAAACAACTTCACAGGAGAGGATGGCTCTTGAATACAGAAAACCCTCACACTTTCACCACTGAATCTGAGGGATTTCAATGCAGAAACATCCCTTCTGATGAGAAAGGCACCAGCACAAGTCCAAAACCATCTTCAAGGTAAAAGGACCCTGGATAAGCACAGCACCCTTCTGAATGTGGCTGTGAAGGCCCCATCCTGCTCTCCCCAGGACATGGGGAGCTGCAGGCAACGATGTCTGGGAGGAGAGCCCAGGCAGCGAGATGCTCCAGTGTCCCAGCAAGGACCCCAGACAGGGGTGCCCTGCACACTCACAAGGAGCCTGTGCCATGATGTCCCCACTGTCCCCGTAGGGGTACTCAATGCCCATGCAAAAGCCCAGGCTGTGACACCATTGGTGCCCCTATGTGGGTGCTGGCTGCTGGGCTCTGAAAGGGAGGCCCGGGCAGAGTTGTCCCAGTGCCACAGAAGAGCCCCCAGGCAGGGATGCCCTGGCAGGGATGCCCTGCACACTGGGCAAGGAGCCCAGGCAGGGACACTGCAGTGCCCCACCATGGGTGCTGGCTTGGATGCCCCAGTGCCCCAGCAGGCTGGGGTGCTCCAGTGCCCTGGTGAGGATATCCAGGTGAGGATGTCACAGTGCCTCAGTGGGGATGCCCGGGCAGGGATGTCCCTGTGACCCAGCAGGAGTGCCCAGACAGAGATGCCCCAGTACGAGGCAGGTATGTCCTGTTGCCCCAGTGGGGATGTCTGGGCAGGGATGTCCCTGTGAACCAGCAGCAAAGCCCAGACAGAGATGCCCCAGTACGTGCCCTGATGCCCCAGCAGAGATGCCCAGGCAGGGATGTCCCGGTGCCCCAGTGGGGATGTCTGAGCAGGGATGTCTGAGCAAGGGTGCTCTGGTGACCCGACCAGGATGCCAGCTGGGATGTGCCAGTGCCCCAGCATGAGCGCTGACCTGGATGCCTCAGTGCCCCAGCAGAAGTACCCAGGCAAGGGATGACCTGGTGCCCTGGCAGTGTGCCCAGGAAGGGATGTCTGAT